GCTGCGGTCAGCGACCGCATTTAGCACCAGTCCACACACCGGCTAATTTTACACCATACCAACGGGCTACAATCACCGATCTATCTTGGACTGCTGGACACATACACTGCTACAAATAGCAACCCGGTGTGCGGTTAGTTTCATGGATGTTTAGTTTCACGAGCCACCCACCACACATCTTACACGTCTAAAGCTATCTATATCACCGCTATTCTTAACTTTCGAGGAGGCAACACATCTCCAACCCCGACTCGCCAGTGGTCCTTCATACCGTTATCACATTACAACTGTCCGTAGGCACTAATAAGGGGGCCTATGCCTTCCTTGTAGCCAGCAGTGATGGCTAGAAGACATATTTGGTAAGGAATTCACGGCTCGTTCTACAAAGAGGGGTATAAAAGAGCACACGCGGAAGAGACGGGGCTCTCGTGTATTCATCCCTCTGTGACTAAAGTGTATGTGCATTGTCAGCCTGTATTCTACCCTGTGTGACTTGTACGACTTCTGTTTTAGTGAGGACTTCTTGTGTTGCCGAGCAGCATTTCAACGGCAATAATACTACTACTACTACTAGGGCTCATAGGGTCTATGTCCCCCAGGGTACTGCCAGAATGTACCCTAGTAACTATCTAGCTGATATGGTTAGGGTTGGGGTTAGGGTTAGGGTTAGAGTTAGGGTTAGGGTTAGGGTTAGGGAGTAGGCGTAGGCGACTCCCTAGACTCGTTAGTGGAGTAGGCGAGGTATGGTCCGGCATATTAGATAGTAGTATTTAGTACCAGGGTACGTTCCGGCAGTACCCTGGGGGACATAGACCCTATCAGCACTACTAGGCTAGTAAAGAGATGCTGGTACTAAATACTACTATCTAATATGCCGGACCGTACCTCGCCTACTCCACTAACGAGTCTAGGGAGTCGGGCCGAGGCTATTCGCCCGACCGTCAGGTGTGTATGTTGCTACTGTCTATTCGCCCGACCGTCGGCAAATGCATAAAATCTCTAGGGCTATCCCAGAAACCACCGCAGCCTACGCCCTACCCCTCACCCTAACCCTTTCAACAATATTCAATAGATTATCGCTAATAACCGCTGAGCCTACACAACGAACAATAACATGATAACAATGGAACTATGGACCGTCGGGTCTATAGAGAACGGTTTCTTATACACCCGACTGTCGGGTGTAGGCGAGTAGGGTGTAGGCGTAGGCGACTCCCTGGAAGTGACTATAGTCACTTCCAGGGAGTCGCCTACGCCTACTCCCTAACCCTAACCATACCAGCTAGATAGTTACCAGGGTACCTACTTTCCGGCAGTACCCTGGGGGACATAGACCCTATGAGCAGCAGTAGTAGTAGTAGTGAAACATTAAAACTTTGGTAGTACATAAATTTCGTGTTTATTTACCATCCTGTTATTATTGAAACGTTCCAAGCGCCTGCCTGTCTGACAACTGGGTCAAGTATACACGTGACGTAACACGGCACGGTGAACAAGCAATGAATGAGTTTGCACACAGTACAGACTACAGACTACAGTAGCCCGACCAGGCTGTACGTGCGACGGATTGTCTATACAGGTCTATCCAGTCTGTGCGACGGATTACCTTACGGTATTCTAACCCTAGCAATACCGTTTCCTGGAGCTAAGACTACAGACTGAGTACAGTTGCCGCAGGCCAGACTAACGCTCATAGTCATAGTGTCTATGCCCCCAAGGCAAGGGTACTGCCGGAACGTACCCTGGGTACGGTCCGGTATACCGGAACGTACCCTGGTCACTATTTAATATGGTTAGGGTTAGGATTAGGGTTAGGGTTGGGGTTAGGGTTAGGGTTGGGGTTAGGGAGTAGGCGTAGGCGACTCCCTAGACTTGTTTATTAGTTGTTACAATGTTAGTGGAGTAGGCGAGGTACGGTCCGGCATATTAGATAGTACCAGACAAAATGTTTCAATCTTGATTATCAGTGAAAATAAACTGTGATGTGATGTGCCCGGTGTGTAACTGGTTTTCACCTTGCAATAACTGCCAACAACAGATCTGTACAATTTTCGCATGGGCGCAGACATCTTAAATGTCACGACGTCAAAAAACCATAGAACACCATCCGGATATCCGTTAGTCTGTGTGCTTACCAAAGATCGTAGAGTGCATAAGATAAACCACTCATGCGAAATCACGTGCAATGACGTGTAGCACGCAATGGAGCGCCACATCCGCCATTTTAGGAAGCAAAACCCGCTCCGCGTCTGTTTGATACATAGAAATAATATGGATAACCATGGTTAATATATATATATATATATTATAATATAATGTAGGTAGTGGACGTAAACGGACC